AGACTCAAGGAAAAGAAAAAAAAAAAAGTGAGAGAGAAGCTTTATTAACATGATAAAATAAATCTTCTGATACAACACTCAGAATCATACTTAAGCAAATACTGATGCAGGGACAAGATAGATCCATTCTAACTACTATTATTGAACAGTATTCTGAAAGGATAATCTAGCCAATGCAATGAAGTAAGAGAAAGTATATTACTGGAAAGCAGACAGGTTTGGGCTACAAACTAAGTATCTGCCTAGAAACCTGAAGATAATAAACTCTAAAAAAATGATTAGACCTAATAAGAGAAAGGCACAAGGTTGTTCACTAAAAGATAACATTTTAAAACTTTGAAAATAGCTTTCCAGTATAGGTAATAGCCATTTGTGATTGGGGAGAAAACAATCTCATTCAGCACCTAGCAACTAAAAATATAAAATACTTTGGAACAAAGTTAACAGGAAATGTGCAAGCCTTGCATGAAGAAAACCACTAAGCTTTTCAGAGGGACATGAAGAAAATAAATGGAAAGACAGACGCACTATCGGTATTCTATGAGAGGAATATTTAATGTTTTAAAGATGTTACTTCTTTAAACCCAAAAATTTTAATGCAAGTCTACTAAAAAATACCACTTTTTAACTTAAGATTATTCTAAAATTAATCTGGAATATGTGTAATAACCATTTAAAAATTGAAAGAAAAGAATGTTGGGGGAAATTTTATTACCAAATCACACTTATTATAAACTATAAGTTAAAATAATTTGATTCTGACAGAGGACTAGATTAAGAATCAGCAAACTTTATTGCTGAAGGAAATAAGACTTAAAGAGTTTAAGTTGCCCAAGGCCACAGAACTCTAAATGAATAGTGTCAAACGTCCAAACCCACAGTCAACCACTGCAATGCTGCCTTCCTAAAATATACATAAATACATGTATTCAGAAAAACTTTGAATAAGAAGTACATTAAAATATTAATATTAGATATCTGTAGGTAATAGAATTATGAGATGACTGTTCTTTTTCCCCCATATCATTTTTTGAATTTTTTCAAATGTACTACAAAGAACGTGTATTGCTTTTATAATTAGACAAAAGGACAATAACTTCTATTTTCAGAAACCAAAACTTCATTGCCCCTTCAATGTAGGAATCCAGCCAAGACCTTATTCTTGGACAGCGTCAGTGAAAGGGACTTGGGAAAGCTCTTGGGCGTAGCAACAGAGGCATGTCATATATGGAAACCTTCCATGAGGGTGACCTCACCACTGGAACGCATTCAACATAAACCTTGCTGCAAGAACTAGCAGAGCTCTTTGGACAAAACATGGTGAGTGGAGAGCTGTGAAAGAACTGACCTAAAGAAGAGAGAAATGCTGGTCATATAGCCTGAAGAAGTCTTGGGTACCCGTCTGGGCTTAGCAGGTCTCCTTTATAATCTATTCCTAGAGAAGGATTATTTTTCCCAACCTCAGCCTTCTCTAAAAAAGAACTCCTACAATGGCCCAGGGTTATTTCTGTCTCTTTTTTTCTGGGCTTGCGTTAGAATGTAGGATGTTCCTTGTGTTGGACAAATCATAATGGGTTATTGGTGGGTGACAGAAGGGAAAACATTACCTAGACTAGAGGAAGTAGCACTATTCTTAGATATTCCTCCATCATTCCCTGTGGTTAGCTTCCCTATCCCCAGAAGCCTCCTCTCATCACCCCATTTTG